AGGCCTCCTTACCAGCCAATCAGGACGAAAGAGCTGGAGAAATCGATATTCCAAGGGGAGGCCAGTGTTTATCTGAAGGAGAGGAAGCCAGGGACCAAGCGAGGGGAGGCGCGCCGGAGCTGGGCCCTGGGCGGCCTTGCCGGCACCTCTTCACGCCTGCCCGGAGCGGGCTCGGGGCCGGTCTGCTGGGGGTGCCCCAGTGCCCCTCTTCCACGTCGCCTGCTTCCCGAGGGGTCTGCCTCTGTCGCCAGCACCGGGGGTGGGCTGGGAAACGCCACTGACTCGGGGCATCCCGCCTTCTCCTTCCATCTGCTCCGCCGGGTGCGCAGCGCCGCAGGGGGCTGGGGGAGAGCGTCTCTACCTCCCGCGATTCCCCGCCTCCTGCCCAGCACCCAGGTCACCCGCAGCCCTCCTGCCGCCAAACACAAGGCCTCTCCCCCAGCTGCAGGAAGGGTGCCTTCCCTGTGCCGGGAGCCCTCTCCTCGCCCGGGGGCCTCCTGCTCCCTAAAAGCGCAACCAGCAGGCGGGGCCTGTGCACGCTGCCTCTGGCCAGTGTGCAGCGGGCTGTCTTCTCTGACCCCGGCCACACTGAGGCTCTGACCAGAGGACGTGTGGCAGCTTTCTGCGGGTGGTTCGCCCCCCTCCCCACAGTGGGGACTCCTCCTCCCTTGGCTGCGTGGGGAGTGGGCCCAGAGGCTGGACGGCTGCTCGCTGCCCAGCCAGTAGCCGGTTGGTGGCTCCAGCCCGGGCTGCCCTGTAAGGAGGAGGCAGGCTGGCTGGGGTCTCTGGCGCCCTGAGCAGCAGCCTGCCGTCCACAGCTCGTGCCCCAGGGACGGGCCCCTGCTGCCCCGCAGCCCTCCACCCAGGTCAGCCCAGTCGGTGGCTGGGTGTCGAGGACAGAGCCCACAGGAGAGTTGCTGGGGGAGGACAGAGCATCCGACTCCGTGGGCTCGGCCCCCACAGGGAGGGAGGGCGTCTGTGTGCGCAGGCGCAGCTGTTCTGTCTTGCCGTCTGTGACGACACAGTGACAGCCAGGACGCGAGCACAGAGGTGCATCTTGATAAGCCGGCGGCCGCCGTGGCCCTACCAGCGCACCTTGTTAGCTTGTCTGCCAGCCCAGCAGACCTTGAAGAAAAGCTGCTTTGCAGGAAGCAGGCAGAGGGAAGGCAGGAGGCGGCCCAGGGAGGGGGGACAGGCTAGGGCAGGAGGAGGGGGTCTGGTGGCTTCTCCTCCTACCAGGTGGTGCAGGTCGGCTGGGGACTCAGGTCAGGCCCTAACACAAGGACCCACCAAGCCCGGGCGTGGGGGACGGCAGCCTGGAGGGACAGAGGGCCTCGCCTGCCTGACACGACTCTGTCTTCACCATGAGCTCTGTCCTGTCTGCAAACCCAGTCCCAAGGGTTGTTCACTCCTGCACGCAGCAGGCTTCCAGGAGGTGCCAGAGCCAGTGGAATGGGGACCGGGGGCGCCCTGGCGGGTCTCCCAGGAGAGGTCTGGGGTGGAAAAGCACGATCTGGGTTGCGAGGCAGGCGTTGAACAGAACGATTTGAAATTACCTAAGCCCCGAGGCACAGCCGCCGGGGAGGGCAGGCCCAGTGATTGGCGAGGATTCCCGGCGCTCCCCTGCCCGCCCCCCCCACCCCGCTCCATTCCTCCACTGTGTTCCATTCCGCGCTGTCAGCATCTCACTGGTCTTGCTGGAGGAAGTTCTTCTTTGTGTCTCACTTGAATCAGTTTTGGGGGGGGGTCCCTCCTGGGTCTTCAAGGGCACCGGAGCACAGCCAGCGCTCGAGGGTCCAGCCAGGCCTCTGCAGGAGGGCAGGCCTCCACGTGGAGGAAGAGCTGCGCCTGGGCCACACCCCGAAGCTCAGGGCATCGGCTTCCCAGTCAAGTGGCTGACTCAGTGGAAGCCACGAGTATTTATGTATTTAGCTCAGAAAGTATTCATTGAGCCCTGCCGCATGCTAGGTGCCATTCTGGGTGCTGGGATCTGAACTCAACCCCGTCTGCTGTAAGCCCCCATTCTAAGAGGCAAGACAGACCCTACCCGGGAATAAAATGAATGAGTCTTGCCACTTAGGAAACAAGGAGAGAGGTGACGGAGAGGATGGAGGCCCAGGGGGAGATCTGGCTGTCCGGGGAGGTCGGGCGCCACTCCGGGAGGCCGTGGCTGGGCTGAGATCTGATCACGAGAAAGCCGCCACGGAAGGTTCTAGGGGAGAGCACTCCAGGGAGCGAGGACAGCTGGTGCAAGGGCCCTGGGGTGGGAACAGCGGTGTGTTTGAGGGAGAAATCAGAGAGACTGGGGCCGGGGGGGGGGCGGGCTCCCATGGGGTCTTGGAGGACAGATTGCAAAGGAGTTTAGATCTTGTTCTAAGAGCAGCGGGAGGGAGAGACGTGGTTTGATCTTCAGGGAGATCGCTCTTGTGTGGTGAACGATCACTTGGGGGTGGGAGGTGTGTCTGTGGCAGTAACACAAGTGACAGAGGTGTTGGCTTGGCCCCAGGGGTAGCGGTGGGGGTGGAGGGAGTAGAGAGTCGCAGCGGAACTTGGGTGGGGTGCGGGAAAATGATGACGGGTGAAGATGTGTCCCCGCCCCGGGTTAAGGGGGTCTCCGGAGGGTCAGGTTTGGGGAGGAAAACCCAGTTAGGTCTGAACACATGAAGTGTGAAATGCCTACAGGTGACCCAGGTGGGATGTCAGTCCGATGGCCTAAGTCCCGCAAGGACCCGCCGTGCCTGGAGCAGCTGGTGGCCCCGCAATGAGGTGGAGCCTGGTTTGGCAACATCCGCTTGGGGCCTCGCCATTTCCATTTCTCCCCAAGAACCTTACAAACCTGTCTCATCTGGGAAGCCTTAACCCCGCCCTCCCAGTACTCCTTGGGTTAGAATCAGAATTTCTTCCAGCTCAGAAGTGCCGACTCCAGGAGCCGTGGTGCTGGGCTGGTGCGTGGAGGGCAGAGTCCGCTGTGCCGAGGGCCAAGGACGGGGTGACCAGAGAGTCGCACACTCCAAGCCCCTGTGGGCGCCCCACCCCCGACAGTTGTTAGCCGGTTCCTCCTCTTTTGTGCAGCCTTTTTCTGCAGATGAGAGAAATCTGTGTGGAGTTCGAATCGAGGGTGGTCTTCACAGGAAGCACACGGGGAGCGCCGAGGGGCCTCCTGCGGCCTTAGAGAGAAGTGGGGGAGGGGAGGTGCCCCTCCCGCTGCGCACGCCTCACGGGCTGCACCGGGGCCTGTTGTCATCGTCCTGAAGGGAGAAGTGGGCCTGCCTGTCCCCTTCCTGCCACTCCTTTCACCCGCCTCTGACCCTGGAAGCCGCAAAGCCCCCGGAGCTCAGGGGTTCCTGCATCCCGGGGCCAGCCCAGGCCGGCCAGCCCCAGCCCCAGAGCTGCCGGGAGGCGCCAGGCGTCCTCATCCGTGAGCTCAGGGCAGCTCCGGGACTGCGCTGTCCGAGGGCGGCCAGCAGTATTTACATTTTCATTAATTAAAAATAAATTTTAAAATCAAGCCCAGCCTCATTTCAAGGACTCAGTAGCAATACGGGGCTCGAGGCTGCTGCGTGGGGCAGGTCAGAGCGGCCCGTCCGCTCACAAGGTCCAGTCAGACAGGGACGCTTGACACCTGTGCTTACAGCCGGGCCGGGAACACAGCGCCCCCGGCGGCACTTTAGGCCCCAGCCCAGCCCGGCTGAACGAGAAACCCTGGGGCCGGGTCTTCAGCAAGCTTCAGACGACTGGTGCGCGCTGCTGCCGGGGACCAGGGCCCCCGTGGTTCTGGAAACGTCTCCCGCACGCTCTCACTCGCGCCTCGGCAGCCTCTCGCTCGTCTGCCTCGCAGGTGTGGGTGTCCTCATGACCCTTCTCAGCTGCGTGAGCCCGGGGCCGTGCTCTGGCCCCTTGACCCTTCCCTGGTCTCCCTCCTTCTCCCTCAGATTTCCCTAGGATTATTCCATGTGCCGGGCTGGACCCCAGGCTGCAGCCCGCCCCGGGAAGTCGGAGTGATTGTGCTGGGGCGTCGGGCTGGCCGTAGGGTGTCCCGCAGATGAGGGGAACAGAGCCCTGATGGGGGCCTGGCCCGGGCCTGTCGGCCCCTTCCCCGCGGGGCCTCGGGGGCTGGAGGCCGGCCAGAGGAGAATCAGGTGCGTTAGAGACAACGAGGGGGTGGGGCTGCTTCTGTATTTAGGGGCCAGGTGCGGGCGAGGTTTCCTCGCTGTGAGGCGCAGTGAGACCGGGGCTGGTCTGCGTGTGCAGGACGCAGGCTCTCCGACCTGGGGTGCCTGGCCCTCAGCACCGTTTCGGTGTTACTGTCCCAGGCGGTAGGAAGCCGGCCCTGTTTCTTTGTTCTGCTGCTTTCATTGTCACCTGGCTTGCTTTCTGTTCTTGGCCCCAGATTTTCTTAGCATCTGAGCTCCGGCTTGCTTTCCCCAAGCCTGTTGGGGCCCAGGGGGGCATGGCGGCGTCCGAGCGCGGCTCTCAGGGCTGGGGGCGTCTCCGGTTTCCTGGAGCCTCCGTGCGAGCCTGGTCAACCTAGTCCCCACCTGCAGCGGGGAAGGCGCCTCCTTACCGTGTGGGGACCCCGCGCAGGGACCGGGCGGAGAGTTTGCTGTGTGAGGCCTGAAGCTTTGGAAGCCCCCGCCCACCACCACCGCCACCACCACGGCCCTGAATTCCAGCCTCAGCCCACAGTCTGGTCATGTGACCTTGAACAACAGGCCGGTCTCTGCGGGAACGGGGAGAACGGTCTTCCCAGTGGACAAACGCTGGGCTCGCTGACCTCATCTTGCCCTGGGGCCCTTTCTGGAGACACAGCCACGGGCACCCCCCACCGCCAGGAACCTCAGTTCACAAGCTGCCTGGTGCCACCTCCCCCCACCACACACCTGCTGATGCGCCTCTGATTGAATCTCTAATGGTTTCTCTCACCGTCTCTTCCCCCCCACGACCAACCCCTCCCCAAAACACACGCGTGGCCTTGCCCTCCCCCCTCCCGCTTCCTGCAGCCGTGGGCGTCCAGCTGAGGGTGGACTTCCTGCAGCGCACGTTCTGGGCGGCCACGCGGCAGGTGCGTATGAAGTCGGGTGGGGTCCCCAACATCTCCGCCTGAAGGGGGCTGGCACCTTCAGACCCGCTTCTCCAGCTGCCTGGCTTTCCGCCCCCTCCTGGGCCCTGGTCGGCTCCCTCCTCGCCCCTGCCTCCCTGCGCCCCTGCCCTCCTCGCCCCAGGGCTCCCACTGCCCAGACCCTGGCAAAGCTCCGGGCCCGGCCTGCCGCTCACTCCACCTCTGCTGCCCTCGCAGCCCCACTGGGCAGAGGAAGGCGCGCCCTCCCCACGGTCCCTGTCCCTCCACCACAGTCCAAGCCTTGACCATCGTCCCCCCGGGCATCCTGCTCTCCCTCCTCCCTTCCTGCTGCTCCTGCAGAGCCCTCGGCCTCCAGGGTGTCCTCACTGAGCCCCACCGGCTGCGCCAGCCCCGCGCTTGCCCCACAGCACTAAGTCTCACCACGAGTGTGGTCGGGTAGGGGGGCCGGGAGGGCGAGGAGGGCGCACCAGCCCAGACCCCAGTTCAGCCACCACGTCACCAGGACGACCAAGAACAGGAGCCCCACTTGGCTTCCAGCCACGTGGCCGACCTCTGCCCTCGCCCAGGCTGCAGGCCTGGCTTCCCCAGAGGACGCTGGGCTGTGTGCTCGGGCTGAGGTCACTAGCAAGGTCCTGCCTGCATCTCTGCCCTGACCCCCCAGCGCACAGCCCTTGAGCACATGCACGCACACATGACAGGTGCATGCTCTGCATGCCCACACGTCATACCACACACCGTGCACACACCACAGGGGTACCGCGAAACCCCCCGCCCCCCTCAACGATGCACAACCTGCCGCCCTCTCTTCCTCCAGTGTGGCGCTGCAGAGGGGCCGTGCCTGGAGAGCTGCCAGGACAGTGTAAGATCCTCCCTGGCGGGAAGCGGGGCAGCGGGCTGGGGCCCACCGTGTCCCCACGGGCAGCCTCCTTCCTTCCCTGTGGGCTGGGCTCCACACAGGACGCCCCCTAGACGGGCAGCCGGGCGGGGACGGGGCACTGTGGTGGGGCCTGGTCTTGATCCCCCACCCCGGGCACCTCCGCAGGACCTGGACTGCTTCGTCGTGGACAACAACGGCTTCATCCTGATCTCGGAGAGGCCCCAGGAGGTGAGGGGGACGGGGGTGGGTCGCCCAGGGCCTCAACAGTCAGAGGAAGGCTGGAGGCAGCCCTGGCCCAGAGCCAGTCAGAGTAAGAGGCCTGACGAGAACGGAGCCTCTTCCTGAAGCCAGAGCCAGCCCCGCGTGGCCAGAGTCCAGGCTTTGAGACTCAGGTGCCCGGAGGGGACGTTGGTCTCTGTTTTGTCTCCTTCCACAGTTGGTAGAGACTAGCCCGCACCTTGAGGCCTGGGTTGTCTGTCTGCGGTCTGGCCCTGGGGGGCCTCCCCTGGAGTCCTGAGCCCCTTCCGCCCACCACAGACCCGCCCTTGCCTCCCGTCCTCAGGCCACTGTAACGAGGTCTGTGAGCCGAGGCAGCTCGTGGACCACAGGGATGGGCATCTCACTGTCCTGGAGGCCGGCGGGCCGAGACCCTGGCGCAGGCAGCTGGGGGCCCGCTGGGCCCTCCTGCGCGGAAGGGACAGGGACCCCTTGGTCCCTTTTCTGAGGCACCAGTCCCATTGTCCGGACTCTGCTCCCATGGCCTCATCACCTCCCAGAGGAGGGGCAGGTTCCAGCACGTGAACTCGGGGACTCAGGCCACAGCGCTGACCCCTGCTACCTCTGTGGGGCCGGGGACCGGGCCTTTCCGCTGTGTGCGCTCTCCCCGACTGGACTCCCTTGTGGAAACCGAGGGAGCAGAGGTCCAGAGATGCTCCCAACGCACAGCCTGGCCGCGCGCCCAGGCCTCCGCGGGAGGCAGCGTCCCCCCGGCCCACAAGGAGAAGGTACAGCCGCAGCTTTGTGTCTGCGGAGCCCCGAGGCGGGCCCTGTGTTTACGTAGCCGGAATCACAGCTTTGAAAAGGAGCCTGTCCAACCCTCAAGCGCCTCCTTGGACGAGCCAGGAGCGCGAGGCACGTGGCCCGGCGAGCTTTGCCGCGGATCAGATGTGTGGTTTGGTTGCCTGGGCCTCTGTTTCCCCTCAGACTAAGGGCCTGGGTGCCCAGGTGTGGGCTGAGGCCGAGGTCGGGGCTCTGGGCGGGCAGCAGGGCGGGAACCTGGCGTCGGGGAGGGCAGCCGGGAGCGGGCAGCGGTGCTGGGGCTTGGGGGCGGGCGC